ATATATTAGATTTAGTTCAAATTAAATACCACTGAACATAATGATCATTTCCATTTTATTAAATAAATAGACGACTAAAATCTTTCATATAGCCCCAAAAAATATAATCTAATCTCCAAGATAAAGATATGTTCTAAATTTCGAATAAATATCAATCACCGGAGTTATATTAATAAAAATCATTTTTTTTTAAATTTTAACACCCTGTATTTTGAAAATGGGGCTCCGAAATGAAAAGTGACATAACAAAAGCCACATTACTTTAGTCTAAAGAATATGTGGTTAGCGGGTCGACCTACTAATTTGTAACATCCTGTATATTTTATTATTACCTTTTGTATTTTTACTTTATTTTAAAGATATTAAGCAAATTCAAATAAATTTAAAATTGTTTTTATTAAACGACTTGAATTTCAATTAATACTACATAATTTTTAATTTTTATTTTAGATTATTATTATTGTTATTATTATTATTATTATTATATTATTGGCAAGTGTTTTTCCAAAGAAATAAAATTTTTTAGTAATTGTTATGATTGAACAATTTCCAGACTGCTCCTTCAGGAGAAACTTAAACCGGGGATTAAGTTCTCTTATATTGAAATTATCATGATTTTACTGGATTTCTATTGCTCCTCGGTAGAATCTTGGTTTTTCTCAAATCTGATTTACTTCCATTAAGTATCTTGCGTCCTGATTTCTCTATATCAGTAACATACAACAAAACTCTTCATGTGATACCTGTGTTATTTTAACCTCATGCGAACGTCTCTATTTATTCAATGTATACTTTACTGCTTCTACACGAAATGCTATATTCACCTGTGCCATTGCATTTGCAGCTCATCTTTCGAAAGGCTGCCCCTGTCTTCCTTGGGGTGTCATAGATGATGTTAGTATTATGGTTTCTCAAGAAGGATAGGTTCTTGCTAGATATTCCCCATTTCCGTGTTTTTAGCTATTCTGTGGATAGCTTATATGATATGTCTGTTACTATATCTGCTTCCTCTGAGCTGATCATATATGTACATATAATGTAGTTTAACATCCAATTGTTCTGCCTCGTAGATGGCACGTGCTCGATGAACTAATTGTTTCTGGGTCAGACGGTGACGAGAGTGTTCAGATGTCTATCCTTGGAAGTAGTTGCTTATTTGTAAACGCTATACTCTAGAGTTCCGTCTGGATGTGGTTTCCTCTTGACAAAAACGTCTAGAGATATAAATGTACCGTTTTCCAACTATATAGTGAGGCTAATATCCGGACGTATTTCTTTAATCTAATCCAGAAATCCTTCTACACAAAGGGTGTTTAATGTTTAATTTAACATGACAGAGTAGAATAACCTAGGCCAGAAACCTCTTAAAAAAGTCCTGGATGAAAATTTCTGGATTTTGATCTTTTTCTGTAATTTTATACACAAAATTAAAAAATTCTATCTATCTTAATATTAATACATTTAGCTTATTACTAGGAGACGGAATAGGAAAACAACGTCTATTACTTTAGGGCGAAATAAGCCGACCTAAATACACATTATCGCCAGTAAGTGATTTTTAGATTTTGACAACAATCAGGGTGATTCATTAACAATGGGAAAATCGAAAGCTGAAGATACTACACGTGAAATGGTGACCATTGGCGCAAACATGCCTTATCCGAAAGTTGATAGTTTCGGAAATACAGGGTGTGGAAAGTTAAAATTTTAAATCGTTTTTTTGCGATTATTCTGAAAATATGTAGGTAGGAACTTGAAAATTTGTGAAACTATATTTTTTTAAGCGAAGAATAAGATGCGTGTTGCAATTTCAGCGTTACTCATAGAGGGCGCCACTTACGACCAATTTTACAGAAAATTTAGTTGATAACCTTTTACCCTGTGTGTCTAACATAAAATTTAATTCAAAATCTGAAAGAGCAATCATTTTTCCATTAATTATGTATTCTTGTTTCATTTCGGTATCTCGATTCGTTTTCGAGAAAAATCGATTTAACGAACACTATGTTTTGATAATAAAAAATGAGAAATTAAAAGTGAAACAAACCAAATGTTTCTTCGTGTTATTACAACAATTAACAATAAAACAAATGAAATTCGTAATAATGATTTAAAGTCAGTGTTCGAAGAACCCACCGTTGACATTTACACACTTTACACAACGTTTTCTGAGAGATCTTCGAGTTTGAAACAACATATTGGGATTGCGTTTGACTTCGTTGGCAGCGATTTGTATTCTTTGCCACAACTCTTCACACGAACCAATAGATTCTTTGTAAACTATATCTTTCATTCGAGAATAAATAGAAAAATGAATAGGATTGAAGTCCAGATTTCTGGGTGGCCAATAAAGCAAAAATGCTTCCACGGCTTGAAGAAGTTCCACTTTATTTAAGAAGAGACATGTAGTTCATGCGCGACGGAGCTCCACCGCATTTTGTCGGCCAGTGCGTGCATATTTAGATGCAGTTTTTCTAAATCGCTGAATTGGCAATGTAAGCATTTCTGCTTGGCCACCCAGAAGTCCGGACTTCAAACCTCTTGATTTTTCTATTTGGTCTCGAATGAAAGAGAAAGAATCTATTGGCTCGTGTGAAGAGTTGTGGTAAAGAATACAAATCGTTGCCAACGAAGTCCGACGCAATTCCAATATGTTGTTTCAAACTCGAAGATCTCTCAGAAAACGTGTAAAGTATATCAGTGTCAACGGTGGATTCTTCAAACAATTACTTTAAATCATAATTACGTATTTTATTTGTTTTATTGTTAATTATTGTAATAACACGAAGAAACATTTGGTTTGTTTCACTTTTAATTCCTCATTTTTTATTATTAAAACATAGTGTTCGTTACATCGATTTTTCTCGAAAACCGATCGAGATACCGAAATGAAACAAGAATACATAATTAATGGAAAAATGATTGCTCTTTCAGGTTTTGAATCAAATTTCATGTTAGACGTACAGGGTAAAAAGTTATTAACTAAATTTCCTAAAAAATTGGTCGTAAGGGCGCCCTCTATGAGCAATGCTGAAATTACAGCACGCATCTTATTCGTCGCCTAAAAAAATATAGTTTCACAAATTTTCAAGTTCCTAACCTATATATTTTCAGAATAATCGCAAAAAAACGATTTAAAATATTAACTTTCAACGCCCTGTATTTCCGAAACTATCGACTTCAGGATAAGGCGTGTTTGCACCAGTGGTCACCATTTCACGTGTAGTATCTTCAGCTTTCGATTTTCCCATTGTTAATGAATCACCCTGTATGTACAGCAAATATATACAAATTTTTCTTATTTAGTTTTATCTGATTTCAGATTATTTCAACAGAAGAATCACCACTCGTTATATCAATCTTATTACATACATACTTATTACTAACTGCAATTAGAAGTCCGCCACCTATGATTGCAATTAATATGTGTTTTAGTCTTCCTATTATAGTGCTCACAGTTAATACATTTCGGTTCATTTTTTCTATTACATTCTATAAGGAGATGTTCTACAGAACAATGAGGGCATGTGGGTTTTTCATCCTTGCAATTTTCTTTTTTATGTCCATATCTAGAACAATTATAGCATCTAATTGCATGAAATGAATCAGCCAAGTAGCACTTTCTATACCCAACAAAAATATAACCTCTTCGCAATAGTTTTTTTCGAGTATTACTATTAACCTCTACGACAATATTAATTTTATTTCCCCTATTAATTTTCCTAACAATTTTTATAAGATCTTCAGTTTCACCACATTGGTTCCTGCTTTTTATCTCTTCAATAATGTCCTCTTCCTTTTTGTTAAATATGTAGTCCCTTTCTACATCAAATATTATTAACTTCGGACGGACCTGGTGTACTAGCTTTATTTAATATTTTGCACCCATTAACATTTTATTTTCAAAATATTCAGAAACAGATAGAGCTATGTAGATTGATTACGACTACACATAAATAAAGGGATATTCTCGTACTAACACGCACGAGATTCTCACCAAATTACATAGGTATGACGCAACTATGATAATTGGTCAACGATTTTTAACAAATGTTTAGCTTGTACAGATTACACCATTTGTTTGACATGAACACATTATTAATATTGTGTAGTAGAATAAATAATAATGTATAACCGTGAGACTTAATGCCTAATTAGGTACTGTGGAATTCCCAAATAGTTTTATCATTATTCGAGATTTTAAGTTATTTGTTATGTAAATTACGCCAACATCACGCTGGAGTTTCACAAAAACAAACTGTATTTCCAATTTAAAATCAATACGTTAAAATAAATTTTGTTTGTATTAACAGAGAGAGAAAATTATTTTCGCAGTTAATGGAAAATGTAAACACAAAGCGACCTTTAAGCCTAATAAGAACGATTTAGTAAATATGGGATATTTTCGTCCCCAAACATTGTGACGCATTAGGATTCGTCACAGTCGTTGACCCATTAGATAATGACATTTAGTATAATTGTTTAATTTAGCACCTACATCAGTTACACATTGATTATATAAATATATACAATCTATAAACGCACTTGTAATTAATAAGAAAGATTTGGTCAAAAGACGATAAGTATAACATGTTGATATAATATAGACTTTACATTACTCAATTTTGAGGAAATATCAAATATGTAAAAATGAACAAGGTATACATTTGAAAAAGTTAAAGCCGGCTTTGTTTTGATGTTCGAAAGATAGTATAGGAAAAGCTATAAAAGTTTATAATATTTATTTAAAAAGTAACATTGCAAAATAAACTTTCTTTCTAATCCTTATAAAGCCGCTGTACTTAGACATCCAAGATATAAATAATGAAAATATGTACATAGTACGAATACCATATTTATGTTGATTTTTTCAATTCAACTTTCTTTATTTCTTAAGTTAATAATTGGTAAATTTATCTAAAAAAATACTTTTAATACACACAACTTAACAATTGTCCTTAATTTTGCAAATGGTATATGTCACGAACTTGACAGAGACTTTATTTTCCGTATCCAACTCCACCTCCTCCTCCAAAACCAAATCCACCGCCTCCCCCATAACCACTATTTCCACCTCCCCCGCCTCCGCCACCGCCACCGCCACCACCTCCATATCCTCCTCCTTTACTTCCCCCATAGCCTCCCCCTTTACCTCCCCCGTAGCCACCTCCCTTACTTCCCCCATCAGAATAAGTGGGTTGCTGAACTGGATGTGTAGGTTGTTCAACGACAACGGGATGCACCGGTTGCTCTACGACAACAGGATGGACAGGCTGTTGGACAACCACTGGTCGAACAGGCCGCTGGACGACCACTGGACGAACAGGCCTTTGCACAACTATAGGCCTTACGACTGGTCTTTGGATAACTACTGGTTGAACGGGCCTTTCGACAATCACCGGCTGCACAACAGGTTGTGTTACCACCGGCTGGTATGCTATGGGCTGCATTCCGTAGCCGCCCCCACCCCCATAACCGCCGCCGCCTCCGTAACTTCCTCCACCGAAATGTTTCTTTAATGTTAGGTCTGCAGAGGGTAGGGCTGATAGCGCTAATATCGCAAAAAGCACCTGGAAATAAATGAAAGTTCAACATGGGAAAATGGTGGTACATATAAGATGTTCAGGATATCCGTAACAAAAAAGGTTAGGAAAGGACAAATATACATAGGTTGTTCTCATTTTAAGTGCCGTAAGTGAAAAAGTATATTCTAAGTCGAAAGTTTAATATAAATAAACATCCGCAAACTTTTAATGAAAAAAATACAAGGTGTCTAAGAGGATTCTGTAGATGTTAAATTAAAAAAACAGAACTATGCGTAAGTTTCTTAATTAACAGCGTAGGTATTATTGAATTTTATAGATAAAATCAACTACTGTATCATTTGAACACAAACAGTTTTTTTTTAACAACAATGACTTTTTCTCATAAAATAAAAAAAGAGTTTTTCATCGTTTTGACTATAACTGTGGATACACTGTGACCCCAACAATTTTTGGTTCTAGTTTCCCTTAATTTCTAGCGAAACCACTGCCTATACAGGGTGTCCTTATTTTAAGTGCGTTAAATGAAACAGGTAACAGAAAAGTTAATGTTAAGTAAAATAATTACATATAAAGAAATCTCTTGCTAATAGCTGTTTTACATTGACAATTTATTCATGAATAAATTGACGAAGTTCTTCATGAATTAATTCACGAATTTATTGGTAAACAGNGTCCGATTTTAATGCGGTTTTTTGCATTTTGTTCAGAAAGACCGTCGGAAAAAAGTCCCGCCTTTTTTATTACCCGGAAGTGACGGAAATGCATCGCGGGTGCATGAAGTGCATCGCATCCGAGAAACTTACCAAAGTGCAAGAAAGACCGCAAAAATTGGTACTCGAGGGTTTTGGGGGGCGCAGAATTCGAATATGCATGTATCCAGTCCACCCTACCCCCTGGGGGGGGCGACTTTCGGCCGCCTAGGGGGCGCGGGGGGCAAGGTTCTCCAAATGACTGGAAAAATGGATTCGGGGTTTTTTTGGGGGGTGCTGATTTCGAGGGTGAAAAATATCCCCTGTGCTCGTGGAGGGGGCGTGGGGGGCGTGGGGTTATAATATTCATGAACTGGTAACATGGAATAATGAGTATTTTGGGGATAGAAAATTATAACGTGTGATGTTAGTGATATATTAGGACAATCAGACCCCGGGGGAAAAATGAGAAGAGCACGAAATTCGATAATATTCTGAGATGCTGCTTTTAGAAATTCCCGCTGTATACGCTCTCGAATCTCAGGTATACGGATGCGCGCAGCTGTCTGGCGGTACCTATACATAACAGTGGAATTTTTGGGGAGGGGTCCCAGAAAAGAGGAAGAGACAGATGAAGCGAGGACGCGCACATACATGTATATTGTATAAGCAGTAAGTGAAATCAGAAATAGTCATCGGACGCATTTGGCAGGGTCAGATTCGGAATCAGCACCGGCAAAAACCCCCGAGATCCATTTTTCCAGTCATTTCGAGAACTTTAGATTTCATACCCCCCTACCCCCCACCGCCCCTTCCACGAGCACAGGGGATATTTTTCACCCTCAGATTCGGAATCAGCATCCGCGAAAACCCCCGAGATACATTTTCCCAGTCATTTCGAGAACTTTAGATTTCATACCCCCCCCCCTCCGCCCTCCCTCACCTTCACGAGCACAGGGGATATTTTTCACTCTCGAATTCGGAATCAGCACCCGCGAAAACCCCCGAGATCCATTTTTCTAGTCATTCGGAGAACCTTGCAATCCACGTGCCCCCCGCGCCCCCCAGGCGGCCGGAAGTCGCCCCCCGGGGGGTCGGGTAGACTGGATATATGCATATTCGAATTCTGCGCCCCCCAAAACCCCCGAGTACCAATTTTTGCGGTATTTCGTGCACTTTGGCAAGTTTCTCGGATGCGATGCACTTCTAGATGCACTTTATGCACCCGCGATGCATTTCCGCCACTTCCGGATAATAAAAAAGGCGGGACTTTTTTCCGACGGTCTTTCTGAAGAAAATGCAAAAAACCGCATTAAAATCGGACCGAGCCGTGAAAATCTAGATATTTTTCTCTTTATTGCCTGGTCTACAAGGTGTTTAAAAGGAATTCTCTAATGATTGGTCGAATATATTTATATTAAATATTTTTAATAATTAAAATCAATGATGCTTAAAACTAATGAAAATCAAAACTTTCAGAATTCATTGAGAATATTGAGAATCATCTCCGGAATACATACTACATAAAAATAGTTGTTGTCGTATTTGCTACGTCGTCGTCCACTTTTTTTGTAGAAAAATTGCTAGTAATTTTAGAACTATCAGTTCTACTTTAGTTTCCATTACGGAAACATATGTATCATAATTCTTGGAGTACTAAATAACCATAGTTATTTATAAGTATTGATGTAATTGTACTGTCAGTTACCAATGTTATATGTATTGATATTTTGCTAATTAAAGCCTAGTTAGGAGATCTATTACAATTTAATTAGCAAAAATTTAAATCGAAATCTATCTAAGGCCAAAGCGTTTTGATGTCGATCCGACTATTGCCTCGGCATCTCAGAGATGGACTCACTGGAAGTATACTTTTGAAAATCTTTTGTCAAACTTGTGAAACTGATACAAAAAATTAGATTACAATTGTTCGTAAATCATCTAACAGATGAGGAAATTAGATTACATCTAACAGATACTCATTGATAAACGATTGTCGAGAATATAAAGAAGCCATATCTAGACATGAAACAATTTTTGTAAAAATACATAATTAATGCTAGACATATTCTTGCTACTCTAAAACAACAAAGTAATAAGGGTATAGATTATTTAAGTGATCCTAATTTATTAGCTGGGGATTGTGACTTTAAACCTGTTCAATCAGAATAATATAAAATAAGTAGTATTTATGCATTTTTGGCTGGAAACATCAAACTAATACTTTTAGAAAAATATATCTTTACGTTAGATGAAACTTACAATCAAGCTCAACGCCTGTAAATGACTGAAGTTAACTGTCAAAGTTTTCAGTCAAATTAATTTCTTAAAATTATATGCTGGACAAGTAAATTAAAACAAGGAAAGTCTCATCATCGATATAATCGTTCCGAGTTTACTGTAACTAGTCAGTCTGGTAGTAAGAAAGGACATTTTGCAAAAGTATGTAGAAATATGAAAGTTGCTTTCACAGTGAAGATAAAAGGACTGCCAATGCTACTTCTACTACGCGTCTCCATCTGTCTAACAGATGAAGATATTGTCAAGTGTAGACACAGGAAGTTCTATTAGTTCCATAAATGAAAATTTAGTAAAACGCTGTTAATTAAATACCTTGCAGGATGATATCTATGGTATCACTGAATTAAGTATCCAATGTCGAAAGTCATTACATTACACTAAAACCAGAATACAACGTATTAGAAAACGTAACCACTTTGGTTGTTATAGAACTGTGTACTGATTGATCATGATGTCAAAGGCCATTGTAAAATAGAAGTAGATTTTGGTGGATCGAGAAGTATTAAAAATCTGTAGTGTACCAGAAGCTTCTGTTTCGCAAATTTATTTATTCAAACTTAACTACAAACTGTAAATCTGTTGCTGTTAAATCTAGTAGATGAAATTGAATTCATTCTTCCTGAAATAAAAACTAAAACATGATGGAGGAATTGAAGAAAGCAATTCTCTATATAGATTCCAGTTATTTTGACTGAAAGTATAATTCATATAAAGAAGTTGATTAATCTCGAACAATCTTGATGTATGTATAACATTTTTGTCCAACTGCTTCATGATAAGATTTCATAGATTAATTCATAAAGAAATGCACAATGTACAGCTGAGTGATATGAACGTATAAACAACAATAATTTGTATATGTTATCCTGTGCAAATTTAACTTTATAATTATTTTGTGGAAATATATCGANTTTGTAGCTATTTTTATTACGAACAAAATCATGTCCTAAGCATTTTTTCGTACAAAGTCATCCCGCTGAGTTATTTAAAGAAAACTACTAAAAAAAATTTTTTTCAAGATTAAATTGTTAATAACTTTTTTTCCTGATAAAATACTTTGTCAGCAAATTAGCCTGTTATTGTACATTTAAAGTATTGCTTTGTAGTTATTTCCGAGTTATCAAGAAAATGTCACCAACAGTAACTTTTCGGCCTCTGCCGACTGGAGTAATTAGAAAACGTAACGACTTTGGTTGTTAAAGAACTGTGTACTGATTGATCATAATGTCAAAGGCCACTATAAAATAGAAGCAGATTTTGGTGGATCAAGAGAAGTATTAAAAATCTGCAGTGTACCAGAAGCTTCTGTTTCGCAAGTTTATTTATTCAAACTTAACGTAACGTAAATCTGTTGCTGTTAAATCTAGTAGATGAAATTGAATTCATTCTTCCTGAAATAAAAACAAAAACATGATGGAGGAATTGAAGAAAGCAGTTCTCTATAGTGATTCCAGTTATTTTGACTGAAAGTATAATTCACTTAAAGAAGTTGATTAATCTCGAACAAATAGATTCACGGAACTAGATATTTCTCCATTACGAAGTATAGAAACCATAGTGTCTAAATAAAGAAAGGAAGAAAGACATGTACTGCATTTGAAATATATCGAAATTAGTATAAATTCGTCGCATTCCTTTTGGGGTAACTAATGGCGATAACTAAGGTTCCAAAGAACTATTGATTGATAATAATTAAAGAAGAGAAACTAAAAGATACACTTTTAACTGTATTTTCTATTTGTAAAAGGGCAGTGTGAATGTGGTATATGTATTAATACACTTACACTTAATACACTTAATAAGTGCGAATAAATATTCTAAAATTACTAATCAATATAGTAACAATGAATTAAAGGACAAGGTGGTAATGTATCGAAAAACTGATCAAAACTGCAAAACTATACGATTACTAAATAGGCGCGCATCAACACTTGTAAATAGTGACTAAGGATCTGTCGACTAAGCGTTTTCAAACAAGTTTTTATCGTATCGATGTGGTAAAATACTACCTAAGTATAAAAAAATATATTCCATACAATGTGTTTTTTGAAAAGCCATCTCTGAGTTAGAGGTTTCGTATGCCAAACGTTTATCCTAAATATCATGGAGAAATTCATGAAAATTGGAATATAGTCTAATTTGTGAAGAATTTCTCGGATAAAATCATGAAAGAGACAGTAGATTTGATGTATGTATAACATTTGTCCAACTGCTTCATGATAAGATTTCATAGATTAATTCATAAAGAAATGCACAATGTACAGCTGAGTGATATGAACGTATAAACAACAATGATTAGTATATGTTATCCAGTGCAATGCACTTTATAATTATTATGTGGAAACATATCGACTCAGTACCACTGAAGGATATTTCTCGTAAGCATAGTTCATCGCTAAAGAGTGTATGGGAAAGTTAATCAAGATAACGGGGTTAATACGACACAAAGAGATTGCTATAATTTCGGAACTAAGTCCTAAACAAAATTCAACCTTTCCTCCGATTGCGTTTATAAATTACACAGTGTGATGGCATAATCTTAACTTGTGTAAAATTTCATCTCAATATGTTAGAAAATAATGGAATTATTAAGATCGTTTTTGAAATAATTATTTTCGCCTAAGCAATTTGTAGTTAATGGCTTGGCGTACTAATTTGTGACATCCTGTATTACATTTTTTTTTCTAGAAATTATATCTATTTTCTATCGTCAAACTTTTTAACAAGGCTAGTGTAAGTATATCCTTTTGGTTATCTTTAATAAACTGTTATTATTTATTGCCTTATCCTTAGAAAAAATAATTAAAAAAAATATAGAAATATTACATTTTGTATTCGATTTAATACCTATTAAATTTATGAATTTCATTTTTTAAATGTAACCAGTAAAAAACAGAAATCTATTCATTAGGAACCAGAACACATGTTAAATTCTTTGAAGTTTTAAAATATTTAAATAATAAATAAATTTTGTGGTTTCTTATACATACAACTGTAACAGAGCGTTGATGTAATAATTCAACAATCCTAACAACTAACTCTCGTAGATAAATAAAAATCAGTTAACTTACTGTTATCAATATTGTACTACTACTTACTACTACTCTATTAACACAATATTAACTTACATTAGTTGTGACACTATTAATCATTTTTATAAAATACTATTCACGCCTGCAACGTTTCAGTTTATCTAATATTTTTTTAGGATTTACAATATTTTATAGATGCTTTGCTGATTTAATCTCATGCATTATTATTTTTCACTCACGATAATTATTTGTTATTACATGTAATTACAACATCATTTAAAACGGAAATTTTCTGTATTATGGAAATTCTGTAACATAAGAATGCAAGTAAAAAGGCAAATTTCACAAATTTTTGGTTTTGCGGAAATTCCAATGATTAAAACAACAAAAAAGGAAAATGTCTATAAAAATTGATTTGAACATTTGTAATTAATAACATATGTATTAAGATCTCCATAATGTTTACATTTATATACAGGGTGGTCCACCTAAGAGGGATTCTTCTGTAACTCTGCAACTGTAAAATTTATAAAAAATGGTTTTAATAAAAGTTACCTGGAATCATGTGGTCCATGTAAAGAAAATATTTTTAGCTTTACAGGGTGTTCCATTTCGCGTGGGCGCTACATAACTTTGCTATTTTAAATAGAACACCTTGTATATTATCACGTTTCTGAATTCCTCGGTTAATATTAGGTAGAGTTTATTAAATGTACATGGTATTTAAAACTTACCGTTTTTGAGATAATCAGTTCTTTTTTAAAAATATCACGATTTCAGCTCTCTAAATGAGACTGGATAGCGTCTAAATCATAACAGTCAGAAACCTGCAGTTTTCACAGTTCGTTTTGGCATAAATTACTCAATCTTGTCATCTGTGAGCAAAACGTGTATGTTATTCAGACTCGGAAATACTGAGACCTACATTTAATAATCTTACGAGCTGAAATTTCAAATCATCATCTTGCCCACTGACAAAACTCCAGTCTCCGTTACATAGCTACTTTTTCGGACTTTAGAAAAGAACCTGAATTTTTCTGGAAAACTGTTAAAGATAGGTATGGACAATCTTATATCAGTCGAAAGGGCATTCAATTTTGCATTCACCCATGACAATTAATATGGGTAATTCCATTTGAAAAAAAAAGTTTTTCAACTCGTAAGATTATTAAATGTAGTTCTCAGTATTTCCGAGTCTGAATAACGTACACATATTGCTCACAGATGAGAAGTTAGAGCATTTTATGCCAAAACGAACTGTGAAAACTGCAGGTTCCTAGCTCTTATGGTTTAGACGCTATCCAAGCTCATTTAGAGACCTGAAATTGTAATGTTTTTTAAAAAACAACTGATTATCTCGAAAATGGTAAGTTTTAAACACCATGTACATTTAATAAACTGTACCTAATATTAACCAAACAATTCAAAAATGCAATAATATATAGGGTGTTCCATTTAAAATAACAATGTAGCGCCCACGCTAAATGGAATACTCTGTAAAGCTAAAAATATTTTCTTTATGAATTCTACAGTTGCAATTACAGAAGAATCCTTCTTAGATGGTATATAGGGTATATTTTTAGCTACTCATTTGTTTTACATGTTTCCTGGTATATCAATAATTGATACTAACAGTTCTACTCGCTGAATCACCAGACCTCAAGTCTGTTGACTATTATTATAGTTTTACTTATAAATAGATCATATAAAAAAAAATGTAATGATACTTCGTCACGTAACGAATCCAACTAGTGGAAGGTGCAAAAAAAATCACGGAATTAAAGAGTTAAGGGATACACAAGAGAAGGTTTTTGTCCAAAATAGTCATTATTCCAAAAATTACCTTGTAGATTATTTTCAACGGTAGTTCATATATTTCGTATTCCTTCAAAAGAATAAATGATTCAGCAAACATTTTGGGTACATTCATGCACTTATTAATTGCATGGTTATTATGGTAATTATTACCATTGAATTCTATCACTTGTATGCATTTGTATTAATAGTAAGAAAGTAATACAAGTTCAGTGACGATTACTAATAATGAGACTTAATTTATACGTACAGAAATAGTAGAAATATTAGATGTGCATAACCACATGTCTACTTCTTTTAATTAATATTCTGTAAGGGGAGCTCCGTATCGGTTACCGGATTTGTATTGGTGAATCTGGTGACACACTGCTGACAGACCGTTTTTTCCAACGAACATCGATATTGGAAACAGGTAAATAGACTGTAGATTCAGAATAATAATGGATAGGTATCATAACTTCATAGATGAATAAGCATTATCGTTCCGACAAAAAATTCTATAAATACTTTTACAGAATAGTCATTTTTGGCCTTGATTAGTTTTCGACGAATTTTTTTTGACCCACTCGATTAGAGGATATTTTTCTGCGTACAGCAGTGTAAAAAAACTGATATGGTAAAGAGAAAAATTTTTGAAAAATTTGGGAGTTTGTAGAAAAAAAAACATGAAATGAAGAAGGGAACGAAAAATTACACTAACTATTCAAATTGTCATTCATTGGCTTGCTGACAATGCACCAACTGATTCTAAATGTTGTGTATGACGTCAATAATATAAAATTTAATTTGATAGAGAATTTGTATCGTTTGTTCTTAAATACTTGAAGAACCAAGAGGTTGGCAGTATGTACCAGGTTCGGTCGCTGACGCAGCAACTCAGCATTGAAATATTTGAAAAACCTGTACCCACATTAATTTAGCCATGCCATACCCATACACAGGTCTGGTCGAACGTTGGAGAAATGTATACGCCCAGTTGAGGAATGCGCGCGCGGACAAACGGCGTACACAGACAGCCGAACTGGGTGACTGGGCATTAAATCTCAGCTTTTGACAAGTTGTTGACAAATTGTCTAGCAGTACAGTGCAGCAATGTAAAATTTGGTGTGACTCAGGTAATTTTAATTTATTATAGGCACCTTCTATCAATCATTCATATTACAATTGCGAAAGGGAGAAATAAGAGGGATATCCTGTTTACTAATATTATTAAAACATGGCATTTTGGAGACCTTTTGAAACGGAACAAAATGAAATTTACCATCAATATAATAAAATTGTTTGAGGACATAAATAATTAGAATATGTTGTTGGTCAAATGAACATATAATATAATTTTCTAAACATTATATACAAGTTATTATATTTTTTTACCTTTAGCAGAAAACTTTATGCGGGCAAAAGAAATCTGTACTCTACATGTTCGTGTGAAAAAATTCAAAATGCGTAGACGAAAAGGAGGTTGTAAAGTAAAACATAATTTTTTAAATATTTCGAGAAGAATTTTCAGATTTATTCCAGAAAGAAAATGTTCTACCCCATCTAAAAAATACTTCGGTAAGAGGAACCTATAAGCAACTCGGAACCACTCTCGTTTTTCTTTGGTTGCCTGTCTAGGGGGTTGCAAAATTTTATTATTTAAATTTTTAGGAATGAATTTTCAACTCTGCCGGAAAAAAATTTCTATTCATGTTTACAAAATTTTCGAAATACGTCGGTTGAGAGCGACCTATAAACAGCTGAGAACCATCCTTGTTTTTCTTTGGTTGGCCGTCTAGGAGGATGCAAAATATTTTGAACTTAAAAATACTTTTAACGATGATTTTCAGTTTATTCAAATTACTGTGAGTTTTGTATTTCATGGATTGCTATAACGTTAAATGAAAAAACGGCTGGGGCGTTACCTCGGACATATCTCAGAAACAAGGCCAAATATAAAAAAAAACAAGAGACGAAAAAGTTTCAAAGTTAATGAGGCAAAGGTGGTGTGGAGCTGTTTTATTGAAATTAATGAATTTTTTTAAAGTTTTGAAATGAGGGGGTGAGGTAGCACACAAAATACAATACACTTTTAAGAGGGGTAGGTGGTTCAAACTTAAGAAGCTTATGTAAGATCATAAGGAGTGCTTGTGTTCCGAATTTCACTTCAATCAGATGAGTGGTTCAAAAGTTATGAGGGAAAAACGGGAAAAAAATTCCTACTTCAACGCCCTCTATCTCCGAAAAGGTGCGATTTAGGAAATAAGTTTATATCACGATTGAGCATTATTTTAACCTGTTCTATCGATTCCTGAAGTTATCCAGATTAAACCTGAATCACCCTGTATAAGGTTCAAAATAAATTATCATTTTTTGATATAATAATGAAGCAACTAAAATATTAACTGTATGTAGAAATACAGTGCAATTGCAGCATGTATTCAGTAGGTACCTATGTGTTCAGGTTTTAATTTTAAGTTTGATTACTACAATTACAAGTTTCTGATGTGTTATGATGTAATATAACTAAGGCATAATTTCCAACAAGCTAATACAGATATAAATGTCAAAGATTATGTCAATTTTATGTCTAATGATTTATTCATGTTTATGATGTTCCTAACATTAAAGTCACCATAATAATGACAGAAAAATCCCAGTTTGTCTAATATTTCATTATATTTTCATTTTAGTTTTCCATGTGAAGGACGTCACTGGAAAATAATTATCTCGTATAAATCATATAATTACTGTTATTTCATAGGTAAAGCTATTTTAAGTAGTTAACACTATAAAAAATGATTTATCCGTCTGTTTATTGGTAGTTCCCCTAGTTCTAAACGGTGTAATGTAGGTACAAACATGTAAGACTATTAATATATGTATGTTAAAGTAATTTACATTTCATAAAAGAAAGTCTAGTAAGAAATGAATTTATAAAGGCTTTTTTAATTTTCCCTTTATTTAAGTCTATTTAAAATGAATGATAAAGCTATATCTCAGTCCCCTGAAGAAATACGTCTTTAATCTTTAAATATACTTTAAGAATTTAAATTTAAGAATGCCTACCAAAAATATAAAATAAACTACATTACCGGACGCCAGAGACATTGCTCACACTGGTGTATTATTGGTAGTCTACCATAAAGTCCATAATAGTCCATAAAATTCTACAGTAACAACAATGATGTATGTACCCAAGAATCCTATATAGTTACAATTCTTGGTATGTACCTACATACAACATATACTCGACGGCCGAAAATATAGATAGTGATTCATACATAATATAGAAACACTATTACCGTAAAGTGTATAAAACTTGTAAAAATGATTTTTATAACGGTTCAATATTATTTGCT